AATAGATCATCTCGTCGCTTGGGAACCACCCCTGATACGGTCCTCCGGTTTAATCCGAAGTTATTTGGATGAAAGATGGCACAGTTTCCGCAATCTGGCTTAGTTACTTTCCGCGTACCCTCCTGCCCACTAACATGGAACTCACCAGAGGGTCACTTGTAGTTAAAGGAAACCCGTCTTCCAGGACCCCCCAGCGAGGTTCCATGTTAGTGGGTGGGAGGGTACCTGGAAGCTTGCCATCTACTTGAACCCTACCTTTTTCAAGTCCCCAAAGAGTTGCAGTGTCGTACTTTCGTCGACTGGCAAGGCGCCACACCCCAAGGTGGAGCCCCCAGTTGGTTTGCCTTCTCATGGCTCAGCTGGTTTGGGTGCCAATTGTCACAGTCACGACCAGCAATCAGAACTGATTACTATTGGGTTGGATCTTCAGACATGATTTTTTGGGACTTCAAGGGTTTTCCGTTTTGCCCACAACAAGTTAAACACTTTGTGCAGGTTTTGCCAGGATGAGATGGCTTTGGTTGCACTGCTGCCCTCAAAGGTCTTCGCAGGAATAGGTAAGTAGGTACTCGGTACTCCAAAAACGGTGAGGTCAGGATGCCCAAACATTTCAGGGATGGATCAACGGGCGCCGCACTTTTTGCCAAGGGGCCTAAACCTCCGCTCGAGGATGGCAAGCTTCCAGGTACCCTCCCACCCACGAACATGGAACCTCGCTGAGGGGTCCTGGAAGACGGGTTTCCTTTAACTACAAGGGACCCTCTGGTGAGTTCCATGGTGGGCAGGAGGGTGCGCGGAAAGTAACGGGGACTTGGGATGCCCCATCCATGGGAGTCTCAGGGCCCTTGCGCTGAGCCTTCTCTGCCAGGAAGTATCCTTACCTGCATATGGTCACCCCCAGCTTGAACGCCCTGCAAGCGCACAAGCGCCACATGCAGCGCTTTCCCAACCGCGGGGCCGTAACCAGCGAGTCCTGCCAGAAGTGAGCCCGGAGGTTTACTTTGAGTCACAGTCAAGATTCGTAGCGGAGGGGTTGACGTTTGCTGACAGCAGGTTACCTTTGGAAACCTGGCTGTTGTTCATTATCTTGCCTGTGGCTCCCACACTTTGGACCCTTTGCGTGTGCAAGTTTTGAAGCTCGACCCGGAAAGCACACAAGTAGCTTCCCTCTTGGAACGCACCAGCTCGACTAGGGACCCGCGGTGCCTTTTTTTGGTCGGCGGGAGGCTAGATATATGAGTGTACATAGGTGCATTTTCAATCATTTTGACGAGAAAGAGCTCCGCGCGGCGCGCACGACAGCGTGGCGCGCTGCTTGACTGACAACTGGGACCTGGGGCTTCAGAGCTCCTAGCAAAAGTGGGGGGCCGGACAAAGAGTTTTGGCATGGAAGTCGTGCAAGAGGCAAGTCGCTAGTACGTCAAAGGATGGAGCTGCAAGGTTTCAAGTCACTTCTTGAGTTGGACTTTCTACTTTTCGGGAAGACCATGCTAGTGACATACACAAAGTTTAGCCCGTTGTCGCTCATCCACTCAGAAAGTGTGTTGCTGGGAACAGAGAGAAGTCCTGCTTAATGATTCAACCGGAAAAGCCTTGCCTTTTTACATGTCCGTTGGGCAGCGGTTTGTTCAAGAATTTCTCCCAGAGTCGATGCCGCTGGTTATGAAAGCGATCAGTTGTTCCACAGGTTTGTGGCGGAGATAGTTGTTCCACATCCGCGCAAAAATAATGTTTAACTTTATGCACCCAATACTTGCTTCCCTCAGAACATCTGCTGGATCTCAAGAAGCAACAAAACATGGTTGTTGGTGGGAAACATTTGGGCATGGAGATGGGTGTCAGGGGAGGACCCCAAAAAACCCGTTGGCTTCCTGTGGGGGGTTTCCTTGAAACCAACCGCAAAAAGGGCATCCTCAATCGGGTATGGGTCAAAATTGCACCACCAGGGGACCGCAGGTTTTCGTCCATGTTTCCATTTACCAGGGGTTCCATTTGGGTTACCTAGTTTTGACCCACAGCCAATTGGTTGAGACACCCCCTTCCTCCACCAGACGTGTACCATGCACCCTCTGGAATTCTGCGCGCGACATGTTTAGAAAGGCAGACCTGGAGAGAATGGTCCCTTTATATACATCCCTCGCCTGCAAATCAGAGCACAGAGCACGAACCAGGGTCTTTCAACACATGCTCTTCTAAACACAGGATTGTCCAGTTGAGACACAATCAACACCCGGGTAGATGAAGGTTAGTAAGGGATGATCCCAACCATAAATAGGTGCGGCCGCTTTCATAATTCTTTACATGGTTCTGGGTTAACCATTTTGGTACAGTACCGGGTTTTGAACACAAGTCAATTCTGAGACAAGCTTGTAGCCGTAGCGCTGATGCCAGGCCGGGACATTGACTCTACGGGGGCCCGCAGACCGCAGCTTCAACGCCAGCTGCGTTGCCGGGCAGAGTCCCTCGTGTTTAGCCCCTCGGCCAGAAGGTGTTCAGGAACCGGAGTCCTGAAATGTCGCCAACAGTTAGGGACACCAAGGGGCACATGGCTGTTGCTGGGAATTTTTGCTTATTGTGGCTTAGTGGTTGAAATCCAACCACTTAGCTGCTAAACAAATCCTCTTTTGTTGCTCCCCCTTCAAGGTCAACCAAGGTGCGGTGAAAATTCCTTTTGGGATGGCCAGAAGCCGCAGGCTGGGAGGATGAGCGCTGTAGGATGAGCGCTAGGGTCGTGAAATCGGAACGGCTCACAAGACGAAACTCGCCAGGTGGGACCCATCCAAGATGGCGTGGACCTCACCTATGGCAGCGACCGCATTGCGCTCCTGAGGCGGAACAGATGGCTGGCATCAGATTTCAGGATCTCTTTTGATATGGGCGTCTCTTTTTGAGGGACCCTTTTGGAGTTTTGTTGCGAGACATACCCGTTATGAGTCTATGTGCTAGGGTTCTCTATGCATGCACGATTCACATATCTGCATGGCCCAGAATCACAGAATCTTTCGTTGGCACGCTTGATTTTGGTTGGGGAAGCAATGGTTTTTCCTTGGGTGTAGTCTGGCTGCATTGCCAGACCGCCTTGTTTGCCCGGGTTTGTTTTTTTGGACCCCCAAAATGTTGCGCCAGTCCTATTGGTTTCCCTTAAAACCCACCAACTTCGAGGGTAGCCTCGCCATTCTTTTGCCCTTTTGCCCAAAGGATTTTCCTGCATTCCCCCCCCCACCCAACCCCTTTTGCCAGGAAGTTGACTGCAAGGGTCGGATCCCGGATCGGCCAGGATGCGTCCCCGAAAGGCAAAGGGATGCGGCCCCCTAAAACACGACGCCTCTAGATACAGAAATATGAAATATTACGATGTTGTTATTTTTTGCGTTCCGTGTGAATCTGGGTCAACATTCGGGCCCCCCAAGAGGTCCGTTTCCTTGGCTTTCCCTTGATACCAGCCCCAAATAAACTCCAAAAACGAGGCATCCGCATCCATGCCGCCTGTCAGTTCACTGGGCACTTGCGGCTTGGATGCGCCGGATGCGGCCATGGCGGGCGGGCTGAGCAAACAGGCGGGCGCGAAGGGGACACGTTCCGAAATGGGTCGTTTCTCGTTCGATTGGTTTCTCTTTGATGTCCAAAGGGAAAACAGAGGGAAACCAAAGGGAAGCCAAAGGGAAAGGAAAGAGAAACCAAAGGAAAAGGAAAGGGAAACCTGCGGGAAAGGAAAGAGAAACCAAAGGGAAACTAAAGGGAAACCAAGGGGAACCCAAAGGGAAACCAAAGGGAAATCAATGGAAAAGCAAAGGAAAAGGACAGAGTTTTTCTTTGGTTTCCCTTTGGTTTCCCGTTGGTGGCCCAGTGGTTTCACTTTTAACACGCCAAGGAGGAATTTCCGCCAACCCCGATGCTTTCTGGGGTTCATTGCTTGTCTCAGGCGACTTGGTGGTTCCCAACTGTCAGGTTCCTTAGGTTTTTAGATTGTTTTTGTTGGTTTCGCGGCTGGGTTTCCATTTCACCCACACGTGTTCGACTTTTAGCAGTGGCCTTTGACAAGAACCAGCGAAATGTGCTTGACACTTTTAACCAGCAAGCAACCTGCGAGGGGGGGCCATGGATTCGTGTGACTTACCCACAATTAATAAGCAGATGCTTATAAATGAATCACACAGCCTCAAACATGGTTGGCGGAAATAAATCAGCGGACCCTGTAAAATGGTGGTGTTCCTTTTTGGGTTCCGTTTAAAAACCACAACAAACAGGTGCCCCAAATAACACCCTGCCAGAGCCTTACGCGGGTCGTACGTTTGGCATGTGGCAGGAGAGCTAGACAGCTGGGATCCTTATGGACATGTTTTGGGAGCCCAATCAATTTTCTAGTTCATTGTTCGTGAGGGAATCGAAACGTCTAGGGGTTGATTCCCCATTCTTTTCAAGCATCGTGCTTTGCAAGCAGCTTTTTCCCCAGGGTTTTTGTTTTTTTTAGAAAGAAGGACGCCAGGAAAGAATGGAAATGGAAGGTACCCCTCGAGGCCACGCCTCTCTCAGGTGGAGTCGGACCAGATGGTGCGCTTCCTGCCATCTGATCTCCCCTTCGGCGGTACTTGGAAGATGTCTCAGACTTAGAACGACCCATTTCTAGAGAAATCGACCCGGTTTGCGAAGCACATGTTTGTTTGGGTCGGTTTTTTTTGAAGGGTACCGATTTGTTTTGGCGGTTTTGAAGGGAAGTCTAAAGGAACACCACCAATTTGGGGGAGTCCAATAAAAACAGCACAGATCCAGTTGAGTAGCTGGCAAAGCCGGCTAGGCCTCTTCGTTTATGACGAGGGATCGGGTGGACCCAACAAATTTCACATGAACCTCGGGTCCAAGGAGTCGACTCACAAGACTTAAACGCAGCTTTCATCAGTGCCAGCTGATTCAGAGCCCAGGGTTTCTTCCATTGCCTTATGAATTGGTGTTTCTTCTTGGTTTCTGAAATGTGAATTTATCTGGCAAAGATCTTGGAGGGAAAAGACTCACTGAGCCTAAGGGGGCGCGGTTCTTCCCAAATCGTTCCAAACAAGTTGGAGTGTCTCGAAATGGTGTCCACTCGTTTGGGCATAAGGGGATCCACGAAGTCACCATTTTTAGGGACCTGCTTTTCAGCACCGAACTGTCTGCGAACAAGGCGATGCAAAAGGGACCTTCAAATTTGTCCTTGCGAACAAGTATCAAGTCCGACAGGTGTGAGGCTCAGAAAGGAATCATGTTTGAAAGTGCCCCTCACTGGGGCAGAGTCTTTTGTGCAGAGTCCTCTGTTGCCCGGTGGTGTCCTTTTTCCTTCCTTTTGTTTTTTGCGTAAGGGTTCCCCTTTACACTCAACCAAAGAAAAAGTGTCCTTTTTTCCCATTGCCACTGGGCATCTGAGGCTATGTAGTCGCGAACTCTTTTTTTTAAATGTCGCGGAGGCACCGCGTAGGCAGTTCTGGTGGGGAAGACGATCTCGCAGGCAGTCGAAAGCGTAGGCATGTTCAAGAAGACCCCGCGACAGATTCGCGTGGGCATGTTTTGCCTTGCACAACTTAAGAGCATAGGTGTCCTTTTTGGTTGTTTTGGTGGAACAATAGATGGCCCTGGTTTACGTGGTTTAATCATCTACCAGGGCCATCTATTTGCCCTAAAAGGACACCTATTCTTAAGAGCACCCCAGAAAAGTCTGCGGAGGCAATTTCTCTCTCGGCTTGGGAATCCATTTTTGATTGTAGCCACTCGGGCTGTGAGTTTAGAAGATGACAAACCGCCAGATGAGCGGGTCTGCTTTTAGTTGTTTCTGTCCCCCGTCTGTCAAACAAGCTTGGGGGTGCCGTTTTCACTGTCAAACAAGCTTGGGGCTGCCGTTTTCACTCACAGCTGTTTTCAACAGCTTGGAATGGTTCAAGAGGAACCTGACAGGGGTTCGGTTGGGGATAGGCCTTATGCTTTTACTGGGCAAAGAGTCGAAGCTTAGGCATTTGGAGCCTCCCTCTCAGGTAACCCCTATGGATCGGTTTGGGGATTTGAAGCTCTGGTTCTTGAGGGTAACTGGGAGGGCCACCAATCCAAACCAAACCACCGATCCTCCAATCCTCCAATCCACCAATCCACCAAACCGCCAATCCAAACCACCACTTTGAGCTTAGGTGCTACTGCGCCAATTTCGACTCCAGCCTAGACCAGGAAGCCCTTCCCTGCCAGAGCCAGCAGGCGGCCAAGGGGAAGTTTTGAGCGGATGGGCTCGGGATGTCCTGGCGTATGCAAGTCAAGGGTCCCATTGCCTGGGGTAGACTTAGGATACATTTTACATGTGACCAGTGACTCAAAGGGAAGCAACAAATAAAATATACATTCTATAACTGGGTCCAGTTGCCGGGATTGTTGGCATGAGGTCGGATTTTCGCTCCGTGATACTTCACACTTCCTGAGTTCATGAACTTTAAACTTTTTGGGAAGATCAGTTTAGTGGTAAATCAGCAGTTTGGTTACTTTTTTTGGGCCAGCCGCTCAGCAAGTGAGCTTACATTTCGCAAACCGTTACCCTCTTTTAAGTGAGGAGCCAGTCATGGGGAAGGCTGTTTCGCCAAGAGGCATAGCAGAGGTGGATGCTTTGCACCTTCTCTTTTCGCATGTGCAACATGGAACGGCCGACTGCGTCCCCAAATACGTTATATATATATATATATATATATTTATTTTTAAATGTGTGTGTGTGTCTTGTTTTGGGTTACCCAAAAGACACCAAAGAAGAGCCGCATAAATCAGGGCGGGATTCATTTGGAGCGAATAGGGACACGGTGGCACAACTGTTGCTTTTAGATTGCGACTTTCTGTGAGTGGCCAAGGGGATTCCCTGTGAAGGTAAGGTGATGGAGTCGCCATTTTTCGGCGAATGTGGATGGGCAAACTTGGCACATCGCACATGGGATGGCGGAACTGAAGCGGAGGTTGAGCTGGAGTTTCTTGGGGCCCTTTGAGCGTCCCGAAAACCTGGGTAGGCTAGATAGTCCCCTTGCCATGGCTGCAAAGCTTTGCCGCTTGGATTCTGAACACATGGTGGAGCCAGGTGTTCTTCCAGGTTTTGACTATGACTCATCTGAAGTCCACAAACCCAGCCGTCAACAGATGTGGGTTTGGGATACAGTTGCCGCCTGCATGTGCATGATTGCCCACGATTTGCTCGGTTTGCGTTTCGGGCAGGCCAAGAGGCGCTTGCAACACGAGTTGGTCGAATGAGGGTGTGTCTCAAAATCAGCGCGCCCCAGAAAACAGTGATGGCTTTTTGGCTTCTCAAAGCACGCCAGAAAGGGTGTTCCCAGTTTATTACTAGGCGGGTGTTCCCCTCCAAAAGTGATGATTTGCCACTAAACCCAGGGGCCCCCTCCCTATTAGTAAACTGGGCTTAATAAACATTAGCCTCAAAGAAGGACCGACCCCTTGTGCTGTTTCATGCGCACTTCGGATCAGGACTTTGCTGCGACGGCGGGCTTTCTGACAGCTCGGGGCCCCGTGCTTGTGAGTAACACGATGGGCGAACGAAGAACCTGATCTCTGATTTTTCGTGGACGAAGTTGGGCCATTGAGTCTGTGAAGAGAAAAATGCGCCCAACGGGGAGACCCGCACACTTTGTTGGGACCCTCCTTGGACATCAATTTACATTTAGATATGGGTCGTAGGAATTATTTTTTGTTTATTGAAGAGGATGAGTTGGCTATGTTTGCAATTTGCTTGAAGAGTGGCCCCGTCTAGACACAAGTGTCTTCCAACAGCGGTTGGCAGCCTGGCCGATTCGCCTCGAAAGAAAAGGGGGAGCCCCTCGTTGATGCGTTCTTTTCACAAAGGGTTGCCGGTGGAGTCAGGGTCCTGATTCGCAGATATTTTCCTTGGAAGGATCAAACCTTGCATGGCCAAAGTTTTGGTGTGGTGTTTGCTGGAGCTGACTGAGAATCTGCTTTTGAACCTAGCACCAGAAGCGAGCAACCAGCTTCTTGGTCTAAGATCTGCCCATGTTCAACGGTGACATGGAGTTGCACGCTATTTTTTGCACCTCATACTTGTTCAGGTTTGTGAGTATGTTTGGAGGCGCGGGCCCGCGTTTTTGCCTATCGTTGATTCCCTTAAGATTGCCCGCCAAGCACAGACAAACAAGGAATGTTCGTTGTCCTTTTCTCCAAACAAACTTCAGGCAACCCTTAACTATTTGGTTCAAACAAACTGGGAAGCTCAATGGGAAGGTAGGGGTCCTAACCTCAATCCCAAGCCTTGCACCAGAGGGGAGCTGACGACGCCTTGATCTCCGCAGCGATTTTCAGCGTGAGCCATGGGAGGGGCTGCATCTGCCAGCGGGGTATCCAGTCTTCGGCAGAACTGCAACGAGGTGGAGAAAGCGGTGCTCATGCAAGACCCAGCAGCCACTCAGTCGAGCCGAAAACACGATCTCTTCGAAGTGAGAAACTGGGGATGTTTGTTTCTCTTTAAGCCTCCAGGGTGACTTTGATAATGGCAACGGCACTCATTGCCGAGCCCTTGCCGAGCCTTCTGAAAGCTTAAAAAACCGCCTGGTGGATTTTTTTCTCCGTCGGCTGTTCTCATTTCGTTTTTCGTGTCTTTGTGTGTTGGTTTCCCTGACTTTCGGTGCCTCGTGTTGCAAATTGTTGGTTGCCGGGCGAGAACCCCGGTCGGTTCAAGTGGAGTTCCAAAAGCACCATCTGTCGTGATTGAGGTGCAGGGTTTGACTTTCGACCCAGTTCGCACATGGTTCCTTTCCCCTGTCGGTGTTTTTGAACATGGGCCCCTTTTTGGTAAAATGGGCACTAAGGGGAAACCAACTCTTAAACAGACGACGCCTTTGAGAAACGCCCGCATGTTTCAGAACATGTCTTCCGCTTTTGGCTCGGGATCATCAGCCTGGATATGCTCCCCGGGCATGTGGTTCCAAGGAGCCCCCGTGTGCAAATGTTTTGCTGCACCCTCCTGCCCCTGCTGCTTTGTATTAGCCTGCTGGCTTTGGCAATCCGACTTGAGTAAGGCCCGATCTAAATCCAACCTTTCCCAAGGGCCACAAAGGCAAAAAGGTAACCGCTTTTTGCTCCCCGCCTCGGCCAGGCGCCAATTGATTTAGAGGCTTCCCTTGATCTCTGTTCTCACTCCGGGCCACTGCATCAGCTGCGTGAAAGTATTCGCTTGGCACTGAAGGACAGTCCAAGGGCAAGGAGGCTGTGGCTAGGTGACTTTCCAGGGGGCTGGGGATAAGCGAAGCAGGTTGCTATGAAAGCGTGGCCAGCCGTGCTGCTTCTCGGGGCCGGGGTGGGCTAGCTGACTTTGAGGCAGTTGGTCAAAGGCTAGGCAGGCGGCTGCATCAAACAAAGCGGCGGTTGCGGATAGGGTTTGGGAGGATCCTTGTGATCCAAAAGGGATTTGGCCCCGCTTCCTGGGTCAGGCGAATTGTTGTTCGCCAAGGACCTGGGTTAGACAAGCAAGGGGCCTGTCCTCCTCCAAATGTCGGCGGAGTTGTGTGACGAACATAATGTGTCGGGAAGATCACCCCTACTAGCCGAAGGCCACAGACTATTGACAGTTCCCCATGCTTATCTCAAGAAAATAAGGGGAGCCCACAAAAGGGTAGACGGTTGAGTCCCTTGATGAATTTCAGCCGTGGGTCGTTGGATGTTGGGTTGGCGTTTGTCGCCTGCAAGGTGCCGCAGGTACGCGTGTTCTCTCCAGACTGTCCTGAGGTTGTGTCTTAGAATAGTGAACCCCCAAAATCTTAAGTTTTGCTTTCGTTTCCCTTGAAACCATTCCAAAAAGTTATATTTAGTCGAACGCACAACCGCAAACCAAGGCGTATTCTGGAAGGGGCCCCCTAGTTCTTATGCCTATCAGGTTACATCGTCTGCGATTTTGGCGCCCGGCAAACATGTTTTTCGTTGTGGTATCTAACAGGGCATCATGTGCGTAGCCTTTACATGGTGATTCAGAAAGCTTTGCCAAGTGCTGTGGTTCCTCCATCTGACCACTGAGGAAATTGGACTGCCAGCATTGCACTTGCACCGGCTCAAAATGCAACATTGGATGGGGCACAGGTGATCATAGTGCTGGTGATAAATGTGGTAACCATGTACTTAAGTAGTCTCAACATGTTCAAGTACGGATCCAGTCTTGGTTCTTGGATGTGCAACATATATATATATATATATGTATATATATATATATATTATGTGTGTATGATTTACTGCTTTAGGGGATGCCTGTGTTGGTTGCGTGCCGCGAAGCGGATGCCCAGGATTTCTGCAAGCGGAGTGCGCGCATGCGCACGAAAGACTCGGCTCGTAACGTGTCGGAGTCTCCGGTGGTTCGGGAGAAAGTCAGCGCCCGGGAGGTGATCGTCAAGGTGAGGGCAACCAAGCGCAGGCGTTCATGTGTTTTCCTTGGCAAGATGGTTCTTGTTGGGAAACATTTTACAACATTGCTTATTGTGGTTCAGTGGGAAATCCCCACTTAACTGCTAAAAAATAGATGTTTGTTCCCCTTCCAACGTCTTTGTTTTGCCGCAGGAGAGGCTTGCCTTTAAAATCAACCATATCTTTGCAGCGTTTCAAATCGGTGAGCGGTCACTCCGATCGGGTTGGTGCATCTTTAAAACCAACCGTCGTGACGCAGTTTGTGTCATTCCTTCGTTCAACAAGCCAATCCGCTTCACCAAACTTAGATGAGTTCTGATTCGCGTTTAGAGTGTCCACTCGTTTTCAATCAGCCCACGTTGTTCCCAAAGCTGAGGTCCCGGTATTCCCTATCTTTGATTCGTTCCCATGTGTTTCAATTAGCCCATTGAAGCAGAAAGCCACGCGGGCTTCCATTCCCTTTTCTCCATGCGCAATCACAAAAAGCTGTGTCCACCCAGGTTTTCTCAGACAGCCCAGTTCTCTCAAGGGATTGCCTTCCACTCCAGTTGTTTTTGACCAGCCAGGTGTTTTTTTTTTGTAAAGCCGCATTGGATTAGTTGTTTTTTTGTAAAGCCGCATTGGATTAGTTTTTTTTGTAATATAACAACTAGACCACGGTTGGCCCGAAAGCATAACATCGCAAGCGAGGTCGGCCCAACGCTGCAGGATGCGTTCTTTTTCCTACACGAAGCATTCGTGAAGCGAGCGCGAGACAGCGCCAGGCGGCTCATGGCCTGTTGGCTCATTGAGTGAAAGAAAAGCACGCGTCAGCCCGCTAGGGGTGGCTCCCTGCAAGTGGCTCCCTGCAAGTTGCTCTGTGCAAATTGCTCCGTGCAATTTGCTCCCTGCAAGTTGCTCTGTGCAAGCTGCTCTGCCCAAGTTGCTCTGTGCAAGTTGCTCTGCGTAAGTTGCTCTGCGCAAGTTGCTCTAGGCAAGGCGCTCTGCGCAAACTGGTCTGTGCAACTTGCTCTGCGCAAGTTGCTCTGCGCAAGTTGCTTTATGCAAGTTGCCCCGTGCAGCTTGCGAAGCCCGCCCGCGGACCAGGGGCGAATCGAACCCGCAATCCGCCGGTCCCGGGAGCAGGCGCGCGAACCACGAGACAAGCTCGAACAACAAAAGCCCCAAAAACCTTGAGTTTTTGCACCTCGACCACGCCGATCCCCGCAGAGGGTCGCGCGAGCCAAAACAAAATTGCAAAAAAACTTGAGTTTTTGCACCTCGACCACGCTGATGCCCGCAGAGGGTCAAAATTGCAAAAAACCTCGAGTTTTTGCACCTCGACCACGCCGATCCCTGCAGAGGGGCGCGCGGGCCCAAACAAAATTGCAAAACACCTTGAGTTTTGCACCTCGGCCACGCCAATCCGCGGAGAGGGTCGATTTTCGTAGAGTGTCGTGAGTGTCGTCGGCACTACCCCGCCGCCCTAAGAAGAGATTTTAACTCCTCGCAAGTCAATTGCGCTTGACCCCTTGCACTTCCAACTTGCACTTGACTCCTTGCACTTGCAACTTGCACTTGACTCCAGGCACTTGCAACTTGCACTTGGCTCCATGTTGCAATGACACCTTGCAATGACTCCTTGCAACAATGACTCCTTGCAACAATGACTCCTTGCAATGACTCTTTGCAATGACTCCTTGCAATAACTCCTTGCAATGACTCCTTGCAACAATGACTCTCCTTGCAACAATGACTGCTTGCAACAATGACTCCTTGCAACAATGACTCCTTGCAATGACTCCTTGCAATGACTCCTTGCAATGATTCCTTGCAATGACTCCTTGCTATGACTTTCATGATGATGATTCCTTGCAATGACACCTTGTAATGACTCTCATGAGAACAACTCAAGTGAACCGAGCGGAAGAACCCTTCGCGATGCTTTCGGGAAAGCGCCACATTGGGCTTGTATTAAACTTAGCAAACCATGTTTGTTTCTTGACCAGCACACAGTCCTCAGGTCCGGGCGTGTGCCTACGACTCCATGGACGCAGTGGACGTGAGAAAGGAAGCGAGTATCGTATGACCGGCGCGTTTCACATAGCCCGTTCGGG